ATTTCAGTTGATCTCCAAAATTTTTATTTTCCAAATGTTCGTTCAGATTTTAATTCTTAATTTGTTTTTTTTCAGTAATATATACATTAAACAGTAATGTTAACAATATTCAAGTGTTTTTGTTATTAAATACGGTTCTCATAGAAAAAGTAATACTTTAATAGCGCGAAAATCGCACAGTATGCAACTGCTCAGCAACATCAGTGGACTTGTTCTTGATGTCATTGTCATTCTTTTTTTCATTATCAGTGACAATAATAACATCAACGATTTATATTATTTATGTTGTTACTGTTGTTGTTTTTGTCAATATTATTACTATTGTTATTGTTGTTATTATTGTTATGATTATTAGTATCCTTGTTGCTGTTATCATTATTGTTTCATATGCGTCATTTATTTGCTGATCATTATCTGGATTACCTGGATTGGCCAGGCTATCAAATGTTTGCAACGTTGCTGGCCACAACGCTCGCGTTTGCTGATCATGTGTACTAGAAATATAAGAAAATGAACTTAACATTAAAATAAAGCTAATCACTTTCGAGTTGAACGCTCAATGAACACCGAACTTTACACTTATAAACTGAAGTTCAGTCTGTGTTTCAAAGTTCTTATCATCTCAACTTGAGATGTTAGCGATAAGTCTGTTCTAAAGTAGTAATTCGAAGTGCTAATGTGACTTATGTTTTAAAGTTGGATTTTGTGATAAGACTAAATGATGCTTTTTAGAGTGCATATTGAACGCGGTCGGTATACCAGTTTTACATGCGGAATCACAGTACAGTCCGGTTGGATCGTGGATGCGTGACAGTATGCCGTATAATGATGAGATGTCTGCAAGAAGATGGCTCACTGACGATTACGCATCGCCAGTCCTTTACGAGTACGAAAATGAACGACAGCTGATGAACAAGAAACAGCAGATCAAGTGCATTTCGCATTCTTCATTCTGTTGTGTGCCATTGATGCATTCGTTCTGGCTGATATGTTCGCTGAATCATTTTGCTGATTAGTTTGGGATTTTGATTCATTTCAGATATTATGTTGATTATTTAGCGTCTGGAACAGGAAATATAATCTATAATGGATCGTATTTTTATCATCGACATGGATCGAGTTACTTGGTGCGATATGATCTGGAATCTACTGATCAAATACAGCAAGATTTCGGTGAAATCGCTTATTTGGATTGTGCACGAAAACAAGACCACACTTTTGAGGTGTGTTACTTCATGTCGTTAAGGCCTTCATTCCAGTACGCCCAATCGATAAATTTAGGGTGTGGAAAATGATTAATGGAAATATCATTTCATCAACATCTTTATCAAATAATTCATCTTAATTCGAATAACTTTATTGACTAGTCACATTACATTATCAGTGATAAACGCCTCAGTCCATAATTGACGCAATGGTTCCATTATGAAAATAATGCTCGACTATTTCTAGAACTGTAATGAAACCGAACGGGACATTTGGCTGTATGATCGACCGCATAATTATGTGGATTATGCAGCAGATGAAAATGGCTTATGGGTTGTTTATGTCAGATCTGACAGTATTCACATTACTGTCAGTAAAATTGAAAGTGTTAGTGTTTTGGTTGAATTTGTTTTATATGATAACATTATGAGTTAATTTGGTAACTTATTCAGTTTTCCATCTCGTATTTGTTCTCATTTCAGTGAAAACTTTTGTGAATCATATGAATGAATTTCGTTTCTTTTTATGCTCGTTACATCGAAAGAGTTAAAATGATTTTGCTATATTCATACGCAGAACCGTTGAACAATCAACGTGCATAAGCAATCCTCTTAGTCAAATTCTTACTGGTGAACCTTGTTGCTTCTTTTGTTAATTGCTCTCGTTAATATTTGCATCGTTCGAGTGATTGACAGTGCAATCTTTCTTATTTCAGGATTTTTATGTCGTTCAAACATGGGATATTACCGAAGTGAATGCAACTGAACTTGCTGATACATTCATAATGTGTGGAGTATTATATGGCTTGAAGAGTGCGACAGATCGGGACACGTACATTTCGTTTGCATATGATCTTTATAAGTTAGTTCTTGAACAGATTTAATTGTCCATTCATTTTCGTCCTTTTAATTTTGAAAAAGATAGAGTGAAGCTGTGGTTGGTCATACGTTCAAGTGATGAAGCAATTGAGAGAATTTTTTTTTCTCGAAAATTACGTTGAAAAAAATTGCTGATTAGTATGAATCGACAGAAGTATTATTCAGGAATGAAACAGTTGATGTGAATATAAAGTGGTATAACCCATATCAAGGCGTTACAATGCTACATTACAATCCCATCGATGGACGACTGTATTTTTTTGATTCAAAGCGTTTACTCAGTGTTAACGTTCGTATGGAAGATCAAAAAAACGAACCATTCGATGTGATTGATTTTGAATAAACTAAACGACTGATTTTGATTGTGCGTGTTAAACGGATGAATGTAATAGACATCATTCATTTGCTTGTTTATTCCTTTAGTCGTTTACGTTGTACTGATCTGCTATCTGCTTGTGTTTTCATTTGTAAACTATTTATTCATACAGTTAGCTAAAAATCGATGAATACCATCTGCGAATTGCTTCATCGTTATTTTTTAATTGAAATATTTCGATTCATATTTCGGAGGGTTCTTCTTTGCTTCAACAGCTAGCATACATCACGCAAAAAAGTCTTTATTAATTCAAAACACTTTCAACATTTCAGTGTTTGAGATCTTTATTTGGATGGTAATAGGTTACTGTGCATTTTGCATTCGAGATTTTTATTATTATTTTTGTTGTTGTTATTGTCATTATTATTATCATTATTATCCACACTATTAGTATTGTTATAATTATTGCTATTATCATGCTGAGGTATGTTTCCACATTTGATTATTTAACTGTAGATTCACAAAAGTTAGTAGTTTCATGAGCGTAATATCGCTTTCAGTATTCAGGAATAATCCATGATAAATAGTCAATGTAATTGTAGATGAGTGAGTTCAGTTGAGACGATTAGTTGCTTTCTAACTGCTGAATGTGGTCAGCATAATAATCTGGCTGTTTACTTAGTTTTACAAATATTGTTCGTATTTTTGCTGTCTATTTCATTCGACGAACATCTGCGTTCCATTTCCTTTACATATGCATTTTTTGTCTTTCGTTACTTATTGAATTCGTCAATGAATTATAAATGCAACACTGATATATATATCTCAAATTTTTTTCGATTCTAACGCAACATGTTTCATGTCGTATGGCAGCACACATTTAAATAATATGAGTTTCATTCTCATTGTTTCACTACTTCATTTAATTTTCGTTCTGTTTTTTCTTTCAGTTGTAAGCATACGCCGACGCCGATGGTGATGATAATAATAGTTATGGTAATAATATCAAATTATCCAGTTAATATTATCACATCCAGTGACAAGATATCAACTGTCTTACTAATACAACTCAATATTATAAGTTCGGAAATCATCATCGTTATCGTCGTTGTTTAGGTTATTGACTTATGAAAATGAACTCTTATGAACTTTCGAAAATCTTTCATATCAATCAAACAATTGATTGAGAATTTGTTTGTTTATGACTGCATGCGATCAATCATATAGTTTGATGAATTGTGAGAGTTGATGAGTGAAAATTGCAGAAGAACATTAAAAATTAGGTCGACATCAAGGAAACGAGTAATAAAGCGATGAACGAAGGAAACGATGAGTAAAAATTAGGACATAACGCAGAAAAACTTATCATGAATAATGCGTGGCGTGAATGTGTTTGATTAGGGGTGAGAAGTGTGCAAAGAAGTTTCTGTTGCTTACGACGCTCCGCAACTGATGCTTTTTTCAGTTTCGTTCTGCTATTCTCCCA